TTTTTTTTTTTTCTGTTGTTTTTGTTGATTTTTTTTTTTTTTTTTTTTTTTTTTTATATATTTTATTATTCCAATTGTTGTATCTTTTGCACTTTGGAATGTTATAGCTATATCTATATATGGGCAAAATACACGTTTCTGACATTATACTTTTGTAAAATATGTCGAAAGTGATACTTACCGCAAATGCCTCATAAAGTTGAATCTACTGCCGTTACTTTGCCATCTAGCAATGTTAGCCAAAGATGCTAGTAGCAACCCGGTGAAGCCGGGGGGCGGGCTTTCTCTCCCGTCTCATTGCTATGACGTCTCGTTCTCTGATTGGACCTTCGTCCTTCATAAATACTGGGAGCGTTTACGATACTGTCAGATTTGGGAGTTTACACACAAATTTGGAATATCACCAGAAAACCAAAACAAACACTTGCAACAATGGTTGAGAAGTTTGTCGGGACGTGGAAGATGATTTCCAGCGAGAACTTTGATGACTATATGAAAGCAATTGGTAAGATATTATTTTTTACTATTATTGGAATAATCTTTATTGGCCAAGTATATAAAACACACAAGGTAGTATGAGCCAGACTATTATTATTATTATTATTATTATTATTATTATTCATTTTTTATTTCGAACTTTGTTAACCTGCAACTAGGAATAGTTCACGAAATCCCCTCTGCAATATTGATTTTATGTCCACGTACCTGCGCTTTTCTCCTCACAAATGGGACGTCGTTGACTTGCTGTGCGCTTGTGCTGGTGCGCAGGCGTCGGTTTCGCCATCCGGCAGGTGGGCAACCGCACCAAGCCCAACTTGATCGTCACGGTGGACGAGCAGGGCACCGTGAGCATGAAGACCCAGAGCACGTTCAAGACTTCCGAGATCAAATTCAAGCTCAACGAACCCTTCGAGGAGACCACCGCCGACGACAGGAAGACGCGGGTTCGAACCCCACACTTGCTTTGTCTCGTTCTTCTCGAGTGGGTGCATGCATGCGTGCATACGTGCGTCCACTAAGCCGGAGGGCTGGTCTCTCTTTCTGTGTGTGTGCGTGTTTAGACCGTCATCAGCTTGGAAAATGGCAAACTTGTGCAGAAGCAGAGCTGGGACGGCAAAGAGACGAGCATCGAGAGAGAAGTGACCGATGGCAAATTAATAGCGGTAAGCAATTCAACCAGCACATTGAAGTCTTTGATTTATCGTGTGCTTCGGGAAGAAAAAAATTTTTTTTCTTTTAATCCTGTGTCTTAAAAAATATCGGAATACTGAACATTATGTTAGTCACATCAACAAGTGAACACACACTGGATGCAAAGTAAATATTTTTCTTATTGTTTGAGCCATACGTTCTCTTAAAAATTATCAAGTAAACATAAGAAATTAAGGACATTTAAATACTAAAGGAAGACATTTTTATGTTTCTTCAAATAATGTTCGTCACATCAACAAGTGGACACACACTGGATTGGATGCAAAGCAAATATTTTTCTTAATGTTTGAACCATACGTTGTCTTAAAAATTATCAAGTAAACATAAGAAATTAAGGACATTTAAATACTAAAGGAAGACATTTTTATGTTTCTTCAAATTATGATCAGTTCATTTTTTTCCAGGAATTTAAATTTAAATCTGGTAAAAGTCCATATTGTCAAGATACAAAATAAGGATATTTTAGGTACAAAATGAAGATGCTGGCAACCAGTTCAGGGTGTATCCCGCCTGCTGCCCAAAGACCACCCACATGAGGATCAGTGGATTAGAAAATAGGCGGATAGATAGTTGGGAAAAAAAAATCCCCTCCCCCCAAAAAAGTAATATTTGTATATTTTTTAATATACATTTTCAAACGATGAAATGGCTCTAACTTTAAATGTGCAACATGCATTTACTTTATTTTTCATATTTATGAAATAACATGTTCCTCTGAAGTTTATTAGTATTCAGACAGATAGTTGGGAAAGAAAAAATCCCCTCCCCCAAAAAAGTAATATTTGTATATTTTTTAATACATTTTCAAACGATAAAATGGCTCTAACTTTAAATGTGCAACATGCATTTACTTTATTTTTCATATTTATGAGATAACATGTTCCTCTGGAGTTTATTAGTATTCGCTCCCATTAACAAATTATACATATTTATAGAAAATTGAATTGTTATTTTAGAGTACAATTTTTGCAGATATAAAATCAATATTTTCAAAAGTATTTGGAATCTGTCGTGATTGTGACCCATTGGGCTCATGGTGTTGTATATGTGTGTGTGTGTGTGTGTGTGTGTGTATATGTGTGTGTGTGTGTGTGTGTTGCTGCAGAGGTGCATCATGGGAGACGTGGTGGCGGTGAGGACATACGTGAGGGAGGCGTGATGACGTGTCGCCGCCGCCTCGCCGGACCCCTGACAGGCTCAGTTTCATGAGCGTCAATTTTTTTTTTTCTTTGGGGTGGGGGCGAGGATGTTGCCTCCAAATTGTTAAAATTGTGCAGATTCCAATAAAGCTCATTTGTCAAAGCGTCATTTTCATTCGTGATAACAATCAAGCCGACTGGAGCCAAAATGGCTTCCTGCCTTTGATTTGTTTCGCTTCAATTTTTGGGCGGCTTCAACGCAAAACACTTCAAAGGTCACCCCGTTTGATGTATGATTCCCTCTGGCAGCAGGAATGTCCAGTGGAGAGGGTCACGCAGGGACCGCAGTGAGGAAATGTCTTTTTTTTTTTCCTTCTCACATCCAGGAGGTCACACATTTCCCATTGTACATGTAGAGCCACTAAAATGGATTTTCCGTGTCTGCACTTAACCCTTTCAGGGACAGCGGTTACAACAGTGGACGGCTTATCAGGTTACAGGTGATCATTCTTGGCGCATGAAATGGTTAACATAAAATTGCAATTGGGTTATTTGCGTACCAAGCATATATCCACCAGCACACACCACGACACTACCGTAAAAACCAGTATGGAGATTTACAAACGTATTATCTTGCGTATTTGATCCATCCTGGGTTCGAAGTCCAAATTGGGTAATTTGAACCATGTAGTATGGGTTTAAGATGACATATAGTAGTAGCATGACCACAAAATAAAATGTGACATCATTCATGTGTATGCTCTCCATCCTGAGATTAATCGTAGAAAGGGTTCTGTCAGTCGTCATCTGTACCTGTGGGTAAAAAACAAAAACAAAAAACAAAAAACAAAAAAAAAAAAAAAAACAAAAAAGGACGTTTCGCTTCTCTCACAGAAGCTTCGTCAGCGGTAGACAACCCTGAAGTCTCCGTGAAGACTCCGGGAAGTTGCTCTGCGCTAAAAGGCTGAGCGTGGCCTGTTAGAGGACTGGGTGGGGATGGTTAGTCACGCCCCTATGGTGAAGAGGCCCATTGGTTTCTAAACTCCCTATCATTGGGTCTTGATTAGGCCTATTGTTTGGGCTAAGGCTGAATAGCTACTTTCAGTTAGCCTGATCAGCATGTCTATGTCCCTTACTGGTCAACAAGTTATTGTAAATAGGAGACAGGTTAAATCTGATACCTCCTTCACGGTTCAAGCATCCTGAGATTAAAAAAAAAAAAATCTGAATTGGATCTATGTACTGTACATCCAATATATAATATTCAGTGTGATTAGTCATGGGCATGCATATTCGTGTGTACGTATGTGCTCCCTACCGCGAGGCAGAATGCTAGAAATTGAAAATGGGATCGTTGCACCATGGAGCAAACGTTAGCTATAGTAAGATGCAAACATGAAATTATGCAGTATGACTCCTCATCCTGAAATGAACCCCTTTTGGGGACAGCGGCCACTACAGTGGACAGCTTATCATGTTATCGGGTTACAGTGTGCATGAAAGGGTTAAACAATAAAATTCGGTCATTTTAACGACGATATGTAGTCCAGATCCAAGTTTGATTCAGTATCGCGCATCATAAACGATCCCGTTTGATTCCTCGGCAAGTGTACGTGTTACCAACATTTGAAAAGATCACATCTGCTCGGTGTTGACTCGCAGGTGCAGCGGGAGACCGAGACGAGACCTCCTCCCGGGAATCCCGTTGTTTGGGAATGATTGCAAGCCGACAACCCGGCGAGAGCCACGCGGGAAAGCGTTCAAGGAATAACGCTGATACAGCAGCGCGGGCATACCTCATGTTTTGGCTGCTGTTTTTCTTCCCACATTTGAACCTTTATCACTAGTCCGAACAGGGAGGGAACTTTCTGGGAAGTTTCGCCGCCCAAACAGGGAAGCCACACAGGAAGCAGCGTGATAGCGAGAAGGCCGCCGTCGGAGGGCTCGGCCGGTTGCAGCTGCTTCGTGTTATTCCTGTCAACCTAACCTGGCTTTTCGTTTGTGTATGTGCTCCATCCTCAGAACCAAAATCAAAGTTGTCTGACTTGAACTCTTGTCTCGTTATATCATTTCGACTGTCTGTCTCTTCACTAACATGTGGATGCGTACGCACACCCTCCTGACAGCACAGCATGAGAGATGGCTCACTCGAATGACGCAATATGCTACAGATCCAGCCTCGGATGAAGTAGCATTCGTGTTCTATAACAGGCAGTTATGATGGTTAACGACGGTGTATTTTGGATGAGGCGGCGAGGGGTTGTTTTCGTTTTAAAGGCTCGGTGTCACGACCTCGGCGCAAACATCTGGAAAGCTTCATTTGACTGGGAGCGTGGACGCCCTTCCTCCGCTTGTCCTCAACTTCACACCAGAAGTTTGACGAGACGTTGGAGAACAATACGACGCCACAAATATGAACGCAGAATAATGAGTACAGTCGTACCTCTACTTACGAACGTCTCTTCATATGAATTTTTTACGAAACGTCTCATCAGGAAAATATTGTCTCTTGTTACAAAAGAAATTTAAAGATACGAAAGGTAAAAATACAGTATGGGCAGCTCGTCACATATCCGAGTTTACTGAACGCAACATACTTAAAGCTGCTATGCCAATGGCATCTTCCTAGCATCCCATTGGCTAAGCGGGATGTACGTATGTATGTGTCCATGTGTGTATAGAAATAGATAGATAAGTGTCTTTGCAGCATCCTTGTCATTTGCCCCTCGGGCCGTGAGGCGTTACGATAGTTTTACGTAAATGTGAATCACCCAGAAAAGTATACACCAGTACGACGATCGCTCACTACGCCGATGTTTGCTTTGGACATTTTCGAAGGATTGTTAAAAGCCGACAAAATCATTCGGATTAGATCTTTTTTACAAAACGCCATGCAAAAATCACTTCTGAGAGAGAACATGGACTAAAGAGGGCAAAAAAACGATGAGGACGCAGTTAAGAGTTCAATGATGTCATCATTTTTATTCTTTATTCTTTGTTTTTTTTTACATGACAGGTATGCGCAACGCTCTTTTATTGCGCAATAATCTCATTGTAAAATGTATTTGTTACACATTTTGATGCATTTTTATGCAGGAAACATATATGTCTGAATTTTGGGTGGGCCTTGGAACGGATTAGGGGATTTACATGGAAAACGCGTCTCTACTTACAAAACTTTCTAGTTAAGAAATTTCTTCCAGAGCTAATTAATTTTGTAAGTAGAGGTACCACTGTCATATTAATTTAATAGTGTATATAATAATGATATATTCAGATTAAAAGAAATGGCACTGGAGGTACTTACAACAACAACAAACACATGCAAAATATGAACTAAAAAGACCTAAAAATACAAAAACAAACCCTCAAGAAAATTCCCACTAAAATAAAGGTCGAAATTTTGCAAGAGCAGAGCCCCGAGCTTGCCCCTTCCCAGTCCCCGCTGTGGCCAGCCTATAGAACGATGGAAATCTTTCAAGTGAGGCCACGCAAACAAATGCAACACAATGGCCTTCGGGCCCGCGCTCACTGCTACTGCAAACAAAATTAGACGTTAGTCAGCAGGAGGTGAGCGGCTGGTTTCTTTTCCCCCCTTTTTGTTTTTTTTGGGGGTTTTTTGCAGCGTCTTCACAATTTTCAGCCATGGGACCAGTAATGCGGAGAGGGCTTCGACGACACCAGAACAAGCATGTGCGCTTGTGTAGATGTGAGAGGGCTGGCCAGACTCCTTTGTGCGGAACTCTTTGGAGTGCGCGGAAATGTTTATTTGTCCTTATTGTATGGACGCAGCATGATCTTCTCCACAGGAAAAATTTCAGAGTGTCACTGCCAAAAAAAAAAAAAAAAATTAAAGGGGAAGTCAAGTCAAACATTTTCCTATTCGACCCCGCTCGTCTAAACACACATTCTGATGAATAGTGCGTTGGTGGAAAAGGAAGGAAGCAGCAAAATGCAACCGTTTTGATCCATCTCAAGGGCGGACGGTTTGACTGAAAATGTTGCTGAGGTATTGACCAATCACAGCTCACCTTGCGAATGTCACATGACCAAACTCAGAAAACAGGTCAAATCAAACTTGAAACTTTTTTTTTAAATGAGGAATCTGTGAATTTCCGATCTGCTGAGCTACAAATTTGATGCCGTTATGATAAATACAAGCGCATTCTAAAATATTTCACTAATTGCCTCATGCTGGCAGCGTCTATTTTGGTTGCCCACTTCTTTCACCCAAAATGGCTCTCAAACAGCTTCATAGATTTTAATCAGAAAGTTCTGGCACAAAAGTAAAGTTTGGTATGGATCAGTTGTGCGCAACCTTTGGAAGCAGACCTGTTAAAAAAAAAAATTTAAAAAGTGGATCCTACTTCTAAAACCAAGAAATTTAAGTAGTTTTGATGCAAATCTGATTTCATTAAATGTGACTTCTGTTTCATCATCATAAATATTAATTGGGACAGAATTAATTTTGACTGCCTCACAATGAGGTGTGCAAATCTGTTTTGGCACCCCACTTCTATCACCAAAACTAAATTTGTTTGTCTGACAATTTCGAGAGTTCAAATGAGCTATCATCAGAAAGAAAGCGCTGCCACAAGAGTACGACACGGTAGATTTTGGCAAAGGGAACTGAAATTGAGTGGATCCTACTTCCTAGACCAGGAAATCTGTTTAATTGTGATGCACCAAGCTTCTAATGATTATTTAATTATTTAGAGGGCACTGAAAAATCCCAACCATTGATTCGAACTTCTGGCTCATTGTGAGGCTTCCACAGGATGTCTGTTTTTAGTACGCCACTTCTGTCACCCAAAAGGTTTCCCAGATACTTAAGGGGCCACATTAGCTTGTTTTCCACGTCTTTAAAATTCTAATGTAAAATTCTTCTCAAATAAACTAAGAAATAAATAAATAATATCAGAGCACAGTTTCCTCTCCAGGGATGGCGTGAGCTCCCGCCGTCTTTGTTTGGAACGTGAAACTTCAGATTTTCCCCCCTCTGCTGTCCTCACGTCCGGATAAACAAAGCAGACTGTCCCGCTACAGACAGACAGCTCCGCGGCCTTGACCCCGCCACGCTATTAGCAAACAAACAATAGGCCTTCAGGCCGATTGACCTCATACACACTTTTCGGGAGACGATATCGGCGCGCTGCGGAGGTAACGGGC